ACCGGCCGGTACCGCCGCAACCGCTATGTCCCTGCATTTTAAGTCTGTAATATCTTCGAAAATATTCATTTAAATTACATGCTGTAAAGGGCCATATTGATCTATATTAAATGCACAATGTATTTAAAAGTACTTAATTGGATAAGGGTTAATGCTGTATTGCTAAAAATCGCTTCGTAAATAAGTCATTATTTCTCGTAAAAAGTAAAGGATAAAAAGTGGTTATTGTGGGTTATCCCTAAGAGATACACATATACCATCCCGGACTTTTTTGTAGACCTTTTTGAGGTGTACAATACTGTAGTATATTATTTTGATCTATCTCGTAGAGTTTAGCCAGCGTTTGCAATGTAAGCGCAAAAAATGTGTTTATTTACGAAATCTCATTACAAACCTCTAAAATTATCAGTGTTTCTCTACCAGATTATGCATGTATTATACATATAAACCTTCCTCTTGAATTACTCTATCTATTAAAAAAAACCGCATTAAAATCCGTTGCGTAGTTTTAAAGATCTAAGCATAAATAGGGACAGACAGCGGCGGAAATGCGTTGCATGATTGCTTTACATAGCAACTCGCATGAAACGAACTTACCCTACCCTGCGTAAAGAAGTTTCACTTCAAAAAGTGCAAGTAATTGGGTGGTTTGTAAAAGAAATGTATAAACAGTGTGTAATTTTTGTTCTTTATTATCGCATTAAAAGGGGCGTCCATTAATTACGTGAGGCGTTTAGAGGGGTAAAAGGGGGTCGTGTCGATCTCACTCGATTTCGCGTGCGATAAACTGAGTTAAATTAAATAAAGCATAATTTCTTCGCCGTTAGTGGAGTTAAAATACACAATAATAATTATGGCGGTTATGCGAACGCAAGTAGCCCAATAGCCTACTGATTGTTTCCACTTTAATTGACATGGGTAGGGAGGGATCGAGCCAAATCTCACGACATCTCACCAAAGGTGGTGTCGACAAATCCCCAAAATCGCCTCACGCAATTAATAGACGCCCCCAAACTAGTTTAGATAGAAGGAAGTGTCTCCATAACAGGTACCGGCTACAGTTTTAGGTGTATTATCGCCGGAAAAAAAACTGAGGAATCGTAGGAATGGGTGGGTGGTGGTTGGGGGCTAGAAAGATGAGACGGACGAAATGAAGTCAGAAGAGAGTGAAAGAAATAGTGATAAGTGATTAAAAAAAACCACAGAATAATTTTGGACCAGGGTAGACGGAAACGGAATGGAATCGAATGTTACGTAATGGTTTAAAGTTTAAACATCTAAATCTCTAGGTCAAGGGTAGCCAACCCAAATGATCTTGCGGGCCACTTTGGAAATAAATCATAATTCCGCGGGCCAAAAAAACAAACAGGCAATATTGTTATATATTCACATGAATATTCTTTTAAAATCAGTTAAATGTCTCTCATAGTTTCAGCAGTTAATTTTTGAGTATATGGTTGAGGAAATACTTAAAGTATTTTTTTAATATATTGGTTTTCACTACTNTCCGCGGGCCAAAAAAACAAACAGGCAATATTGTTATATATTCACATGAATATTCTTTTAAAATCAGTTAAATGTCTCTCATAGTTTCAGCAGTTAATTTTTGAGTATATGGTTGAGGAAATACTTAAAGTATTTTTTTAATATATTGGTTTTCACTACTTTGACGATTATGACGATTATAATAATAATAATCATCATCATCATAGGGTCGTCGTTCCTAAGACTGGCTGGAGATGCGCCTCCACTCTTCTATCCTGAGCTAATCTTCGTATTTCCCTAATCTAATCTACGTCTACCTCTACTCCTCTCAAGTCCTGCTTCCACTTCTAATATGTTTCTAACGAGCCCTTGAAGCCTGAAACCTATCTCGCCTTTTTATTCCTGACTTCCATAGCACATCACATTTCAAACGCTTTTAACCGTTTCGTTTCCGCTGCGTCCACCGTCCACGTTTCGCACTCGTACAACGTCGTGCTTTAACAATCTTTTTTGAATATCTAAATTAACCGTTTGCAAGCAGAAAAGTGACTTCTTTTTATTGAAGACGACTCGATCCTGCGTTATCCTTTATCTCTTATATCTCAACTATTTAAATTAATTAATTAAATGATTCTAGGTACCAAAACTTTGCGACCGTTTTAAAATAAATATATTTTGTAAAACTATGATGAATCTCGCGGACTCGAAAAACGCTCAAGGTGAGCCCCGGGTTGGCCACCCCTGGTCTAGGTCGTGCCGCTCGGTTTGTTGTCGAAATATCCATTAAACTTACCTGTACTCAAATGTGTGGCCGAAGACATACAAATTGCAGCAGAAAAATTAAAGTTTGAGGGAAGGCAAATTATGTTGACGAAATTGTTTATTACGAAATCGCCTTTTAAAAATAGTAGTGCTACTCCATTCTCCTGTCCATTTCCAGGGAGGAATTGGGGATTATAAGTTACATACTGCACATCGTTCTGTTGCCACGGCTGAATTTGTGCTTCCTTTCTAAGAGGATTTATTGTTCCTGCTCTAACAACGTAATTTGTGGGTTCTCTAGAGAATTAAAAAGTAAATTTAATCAGAGCCGTAATGGAAAAAATGATAAGTACCTACCAAACAAAAAAAAAGATAATGTACCGACTCGAAATTCGCACATAATATTAAAATCTTTAACCCATCAAGGGTTATAAATTCCAAAAATAAAAATTTAAGTCCTTACCTTTGTATGCAATTCCCTGTTGTAAGTACCACTCCGGATCTGACCAAACTTCCCATGCACTCGTACTTCAATTGATCTTTTTCTAGAATGCTAACGGCCCATGGAAATTCTCCAACGGATGCAGGGGTAGTAACGGGAGTCATAATTCTGGAAATTTTCCGGTCGTACAAGTTTCTCGTGCCGCACAATGTTTTAGACAGCGATTGCTCTTCTATTATTTCAACGTCAAACTGACTCGTTGTGGCTGCTTCTGAAAGAGTTAATTTTTTGATTTTCAATGTAGTAAGTTACGTCGGTCATTAATTTTAATAACACTTAGAGTGGTTACGGTTGCGAAATTATAAGGCATTTTATCAATAATTAAAAATAAAAAATGAGACTTGTATGTTCCCGTGATTCCGTCGTAATATTCAATAAGTACTGATCATACTGAGATGATGTAGTAGTCGTTTGGGTTTTGTTAAAAAACAACTTTTGGGTGTTTTATTCCCACCAACCAGTAATGTTGGTGGGCGGACAGTCCCTCCGGACTACGCCGGAAAGTAGGGCGGAAGACCCTCTTCAGCCTCGTTTCAAGAATCGTGGGAATGAGTGGGTGGCGGTTCGAGTGAGAAAGATGAGACGGGCGGAATGAAGACAGAAGATAATGAAAGATTATCTGTGGAATATTACTGCCCCAGTGATCCAAGGAAACCACAGAAAAACTTGGACAAAGGCAGACGGACCCGGAATCGAACCGGCGTCCTTCCGAATGCTAAGCAATGGTCTAAATCTTAAGGCCATGCCGCTTGGTTGGGTTTCGACGTGAGCCACAATTAATTTATTTTTACCTTTAGTCGGTTCGCCTAAAACATGTTCTTCTGTTGGTATTGTTACGCTATCATCTTCTTCAGGTGGTGTAGTACTCTCAGTAGAAGTGGTGGTGGTGGAAGTGGAAGGAATAGTGCCGGCAGCTGTTGTACTGGAAGATGGTACAGTAGCAGTTGTTGTTGTTGTTGGAGTCCTTGTCACATTGATAATTGTTGTGACTATTTCTTAAAAAAAAAACTAAATTCAAAAGCACTAAAAAACATAATGTACGATAGATATACCATGTGTCAAGAATGTTCCATTTTTTTTTCTCAGAAATATTTACAGACTTAAAGATTTATTACTTGTAAATCTAGTATCAGTCAGATAAGTCAGGACGGAAGGATTAGTCGGGATATAATGCAGAGGATAGCGCAGGGTCGAGTCGCCTTTAATAAAAAGAAGTCACTTCTATGCTCGCGAACAATTAATTTAGAAATTCGAAAAAGATTTTGTTAAAGGTGTATGTTTAGAGCGCAACCCTGAACAGGTGCGAAACATGGACGGTGGGCGCGGCAGAAAAGAAAAGATTAGAAGCGTTCGAAATGTGATGTTACAGGCGAATGATGAGTATACCGTGGATAGAGAAGGTTAAAAATGAAGAGGTTTCAGAAGGAATAGGAGAACATTATTTTTCAACATCTCCATTGAACGCAATACTTTTGATCCAACGATCTTCCAGTTTTTTATTCCTGCAATATACTCGTTTACAGACAAATAACTCTGGATGATGCTGCTACTACCTCTCCAAACACGATTTTGATTTGATCCTTCTGCATTTTTTTTTGGTCAGGAATCTACAAACGCGGTACCCATCCTGCACTCTGCTTTTTCGTCCTCAGAATTTCATGCAGGATATGAAGTACGTATGAGATTTTGACGATATCATGAATTTTTACAACCATTTCTTCAGTAGTTGCCTCAGTTGGGCGTCCTCATCGATGACTGTTTAATTATTTATCGATCCACCCTGTATTTACGTATGGGCTGAACGAGCTGCAGCTCAATCTAATTGCATTTTCATCTGAACGTATTGAGCTAAATAAAAAGAGTGGATGCGAGGTTTAATCTAGATTAGCTCAATTATACAAAACTGATTTATCTGCTAAACCGGATAATTTCATAATAGGTACATATTATTATGTAACATTCATAAAAATTAACGAAAAAGCCGTCGAACATATGCATCAGCATATCAATATTGCGAAGAAGAGGCAATTTCTGTCCTTCGTGAAGCAACAGTGGTGAATGCAGGATATTTGTTTGGGGAAGGCTGTGCTCACGGAAAGGTTGTATCGAGGTGGTATATCGAAATTGGATAAAAGGTATTATTAATACAGTGGACCCTAGGTAATTCGGCTCTTTTCTAATCCGGCGCCCCCTGTAATCCGACGTGACTACTGAACCTAAAAACACCACTGCACATAGCAAAATTTTAGCAAATCCTACATGCCACGCGGGTCCCGCGCCTCCTGTACCCAAAAAAAAACTATCAAATAATATAATATATAGTAGATATATATATGACGCTGTTCAATGGAAGACGTGGCACTAAAAGTGACCACTAGCCACACCATATCCATTATATCGACAATCGTACCTACATAAATTGTGTTGCAAGTTGACAACACCACAATACTTACAGGGGAATCCCCTAATATTGTTTTCGAGTTATTCGTATAATCCACCCATTTAGAATAGTCTTGTATTGATTACCAATGAAATTATTGGATATTTAATGACATAATTCTACTATTATTACGGTCGATCGTTTCTTCCACATTTCAATTTTATTTTATTTTTCTTTTGCTGTGATCTATCTAGATGTTCCATTTGTTTTTTGTTTGCCAACCATTATATATTATATATTGTTGATGTCAACTACTTTGTTTGCAATTTCGGTTTTCTTAACAATTTTTTTGTACCGATCGTTTTCAACGAAAGCACTAAACTCGAAAATTTCACTTTTATAAACTTTTAATGGAAATTAATTAGAATCGCGTGTTTCCCAGTTGTGGAATTAATGTTACGCATTTAGGTACCTACTTGAATTTGATGATTACCAATTTTAGTAGATAATAGAAAACGTTCTTTTTGAACATCAATAACGCACATTAAAGTTACGAATATATAAATGACCTTACATGACTGAAAATAGAAAATACTTAAGTTAACTTTAATTTTAATTAGACTATTGGTATTTCTAAATTTACTCACACTAAATCACAAAAAATTTTTTTTTGATGTCTTAAGTCTTGTTTAAGTCTTGTTCTCCATTGGTTTCAGACCTCGCGCTGGCTTAATCTGGCACTGTAGTCTATTAAGGTTAAGAGGGTAGCATTTAATTATAGTCTAATTATTACATCTTTAACTACCGCTTAATTGGATTGCAAAAAATTCTGTTTTTGAGTTTATGTTATTTTTATGTTTGTTTCCGTTTTTCATTCAGACGTACGGAACCCCAAAAAGTAAGTCAAATAAAAAGTGAAGAAGTTCTTATGCGGAATACGCAATAAAAATGGTATAATGGTCGAAACAATATTATTACAGACTAGACTAAAGAAATAATAACTCGCCAACTAGTTTATTTTTATTAAGTATATCGTGGCTTCTAAAATAATATTTTTTTTATGTTTTCGTGGAAAAGGCGAAATCTTCAAGACACCCAGCCATTCGTACGACTGGGTAGTACAGGATTCTTGAGGAAGGTGTCCTCGGATTTATATTCTAAAATAATATAAATCCTTACCTGTTAGGGGTGTAGGTGGTTTGATTTATTGTTAAGTGCTAGTGAATACTACGTTAAAAATCTGAATATACATACATAGAAGCAAGGAAAATGGAACATCCTGTACATGGAAGTATATATATTTTTTGTAGAATACCTGTAACATATTCAGGTGCTGACGTGGTTGTCGTTAATTTTGGAGTAGCTGTGGGGGTTGGTGGTGATATTTCGTTCACTCTCGTAAAACTAACGTTGAAGCAGCACACTTCCTGTTGATTGCATTTTATCGATACCAAATTTGCAGATTTACTAAAATAACGTGTTTTATTTATTAACTAGAAATTTTTTTTCATAAGAGCTAGTGGCATAAAAAGGTTGTAACGGCTCCGAGCACGAACCCTTTAATCGGCTTCCCCCATCTCATAGTTCCCACCCCTACCGTTAAAAACTTCTCAAGCATTTTTTATAAGATAGCCTATGTTCCGAGCAGTCTGATTTTAGTTATTGTCAATCGATAACAAAAATATCGATAATTATCGATGCACCTATAACAATATTAGCAACTGATAAATATCTATAGTTATCGATATATCGATATATTCGGTAATTATGGGTAGAAATCGATACACAATAAGCAATTGACAACTATTTTATATGTATACAATATAATTTCATCATTTTTAATTCATAGTAGATACTGTTAATAAATAAATCTGCATTAGTGTATAACTTTGTTTAGTTTTTTACCTATTTTTTCTTAGAAAATATCTAATTTCAAGAATAGAACATAGATCCTATTAAAATATGATCCTATTAAAATATGATCCTGTTAAAATATGATCCCTTAAAATAAATCTTTAGAGGTGACGTTTTACAATTTTCTACGTCCCATTTAAATAACATAGGAATTTTTCATTTCTAATTTGCAATTTTGGAACTTAACCACGAATTACTATACATACAAGAATATGGGCAAGATATATATTTCATAATTACCGATAGTTATCAGTATATTAATATTTATCGGTATCCATAATTATCGAAAATATCAATATACATATATGAATAACTATTCATATTTTTGCCCAGCACTAGTCCCAAGTGTGTTACGATACCATAAGAAGATAGTTATCAAAAAAATAAAAAAAAAAACCAGTGACGGCTCGTACTTTCAGAAAATAGGTAAGGACTTGCAGAAAACAGAGAAACGTAGAATTAGGTACAGTAAGTTCTCCAATATTCCTCAGATTATGTGGCAGGGAATATGTCGAGCATTTCGAGTAGAGATGGGATCATTCGAATTTTCCATTTAACAAATGCTCTTGTTACGCAAAAAATTATTTATGATTTACCAATTCGACCTCTCAGCGATGGTAGTTGTGACTTAAATAAAATACGTTCGAAAATATGGGGAGGGAGGGGTGACGAGATATGACTAGGAGGACGGGGTCTAAAGAATTCGCTGTTCATTAGGGACGTAATATTTATTAGGGGGTCGTTGAAAGTGTGACTTAACGTGACGAAGGGAGAGGGAGGGATCTAAAAAAGGTGAAATTCTGAGTGACGTATTTCACGGACAACATCCTAATTATTATCATTAAAGTTTTTAGTCCGAAGACTGGTTGTTCACGCACGTCCACTTCGTCCTGTCTTGTCCCAATCTTCGCATTTCTCGAACATCCTAACCTCTAACTAACTATTTGCTAGCAGTAATCTAATCTAGGCCTGTCTACCCATTTTAATCTCTGTTTCTGCTTCTAATATTCCTCTAACTCTTCTCTAATATTCCTGTAACTCCACTAAGCTCTTCATGTCGGAGAAGATGTCCTATCTTATTGACTCCCATAAAGCTCTCTATTCTCATATCCTTTCTACTAATACACCTAATTTTTTAGCACTTTCATAACCACTTCTAAACACTTCTAACCGCCCACCGTTCACGTTTTACACCTATACAGAGCCGTGAATATACAGTTTTAATAATAGTAATATATCAAAATCATCCATAATCGTATGTTTGTCAGGCTTGAATGGTTCCTTTACGAAACGGCATTATAAAGGAATTTTTTCAGATTTTCGGTACCTGTTGAGCCTTGACGCTCCTTTGCTCGTCAGATGCAACGCCACTGATTATAACTAAATTATGTTGAAATAAATTCAGTTAGAAAACGCCATTCTCCTGCTAATTTTTATTCACATTTTACAAATCGCCCAACATATTTCTTATTCTGCACTTTTGATTGTTTGTGAGGCTTCCGTATCTTACAATAAAATCTTATAAAGCCTTATATGCCTTGTGTATCTGTTATAATAGTCGATCATCCCCAAAATTTTAAATGTAATTTTAATTTTGACGTACTATGTACTAAATCATACTTCAGAAGGTTAAAAAAGAAGTCCAAACAAGATTTTATAGAATATGTGGGGTATTTTTTTTAAATTAGAGATAATCCAAAAAATTATCATCTCCCTTACCTTTTTGCTTGAATTTGTTCATCTACCCTGTCTCTGCACAGAGTGGGAGGGACGCAGTAACATTCTTTCACAAGTACTACCGAAGTTTCTGGGCAATAATTGTTTATGTTAATATTAACTACGTCTCCGGGTCTTTCAGTTTCTTTTTCGGGATATCGATTTCTATTTCGATTTGAAATTCCTATTACAGTGATTTCAGCTGCACTCGCAATAATAATATTTTTTAGAAAGCATGCAAAAAGCGTGTTTAGCACAAAACACTTCATTTCGATTGCGTTTTTAACTCACTTTTGTTATAATCATCATTCTCATTATATCTACCTGATATTGCGATGTGTAATTACTGGTCATTTATTCAGCCGAGAAGAAACAGGAAGTTGATTGTTGTATGACCGTTAAAAAAATGTAATTTCTATTATATACTTTAGCAAAATTGCACTTGTATTAAAGTAAAAAATAATTTTTTGTACTAGAAATCGACCTAATAAAATAGTCACATTTAATAATGTGAAATTGAGTTAAATTGTGGAAATCGATTTGATTAATTAAATGTTTTTTGATACTGTTGAAATAAGGAAGGATTAATAAAAAAGTAATGATACTTTATACTTGTCTGTCTTTCTGTACCTNCGAGAAATCGACTTAATAAAATAGTCACATTTAATAATGTGAAATTGAGTTAAATTGTGGAAATCGATTTGATTAATTAAATGTTTTTTGATACTGTTGAAATAAGGAAGGATTAATAAAAAAGTAATGATACTTTATACTTGTCTGTCTTTCTGTACCTGTCTGTCTGCGTGCCTGTCGCCATGTAAATTATTATTAATGAACTAACGATATCAGTACGAAGGCGTGGAAGGAACATTTCTAAAGGTTTCAATGTGGTATGAATTTATCCAAATAATACCTTTAATAACGTCTACATTATACATTTAAAGAAATTTTATTTATTATAATAATGTAACTGTCTAAAACAATTTGTTACATTAAACCCTAAATATATGCTATGTTAGGGAGACCATATTTTTCTAACTCAATGGTGAACGGCTTTAAAAAAAACGGTATTCAGTTTCAAAAACTTTGATAAGCTTAATGGCGGTTGTCGCAAGCGGACAGCACTGATACATTACAGATCGTTACCTAATTCAACCTAGTGACTTCGTCAGTGAGAGTTTAGCCACAGTCACTACTACATCCTGTCTATGACCGTATGTCGCTGAAATCATTATCTATAATTGAAATTAACTGTCTATTGCCTATCTATTACCATTGACATATCATGGACATATCTATGAATTGACATTTATAATCTATGTTTACAATTCACATTTCAATAGCACCTAGTCTAGGATAGCACCATACCCTTTGTTTATCTATTATCTATGGATAGCACCTTTGTTATTGTTATTGTTTTTCTATGTGTGCATTATGGCCGTTTTCGTATGCTTGCGATTGGGTTATTTAAAGTTATATTATTGAGTAGTGTGCAAGTGCCTTTTATTTAGAAAATAGACAGTGTAGTATCTTTCGATAGAAAAAGGATTTACAAGAATGAATTGGTAACTAGAAGTTAATACAATCAAAAAAGTTAGTGACAATAATATTTAGTCAGTTATACTTTGGCTTAAGACAAAATGCAATTTATTGCATTATATATGTTATTACTTCTGGTATAATTTTATGTGTAGCAATTTACAAATTAATTAATCATGAACATTCACTTTTTATTTTAACGAATGCTTTTAAATGACTATTTCCATTGCTCATCATTCATCTTCTAAAGGAGTATGTAGGATTGCCTAATACACATTCGTTTTCCGGGATTTAATTTTTGTATTTGATGTGAATCCTTTCATTCGTTTGATCAGGGCCGGATTCAGAAATGTTCTCTAGAGAAAGCGATGTTGAACGGAAAACATTTTAAAAAAATGACCCAACGAGAAACTTCAAGTAATAATCGTATTGTGTATTATAAACAACAATATAATCTTCATTTAAAGCGAGTCTATCTATATTTTTTTTTTCTGTTTCAAAATATACATTTAATGCAGCTAACAGCAGGCAAGTAATGATCAGTTAAAATGTTTAGGTTGCAATTTTTAAATCCATGTAGGTCATTTCTTTAGGATTCGTTTTAACTAACAGTTTCGTTTTTTAACCGTAGCGGAAATATTTCAAAATTTTCAAATCATTTTTTAGGTTTAAAACACAATTTTCCAACCATTGAAAACCTAGAAATATGTATAACATATAACAAAGAAACGTTTCAAATTAAACATCTTAGAATAATTTGTAATTTATAAGTCAAACTGCTTCGAAAAAGCAATTATTAATTGACCAAAT